CTCTTTCCTATGATCTCCTCTTTGTTCTTCCTTCCAACCCTCTGTGTCTGCGGGCGGTGGAGAGCTCTGCCTCTCCCTACAGTTCCTCACAGCACCACCGCGTTCCCAGACAATGTGCGCATGGAATTTTCATCTAAATCACCCCAAAAGCAGTGGCAAAATCCGAGGTTCATCATGCTGAATCACAACCAGACCACAAGCAGTGGCAGCAGCTCAAGAAGATGCAAATGCCTTTGTAGAAATGCCAGGAACATGCCCCGTTGCTGACAAGGGCTTCCCAGGGATTTCCAGCCTCATCCCACGGGAGAAAAATGTGCTATCCTCCTGGGACAGAGTCTGTCTTTGTGTTACATATCATTTGTAAGCAAAATAACCCTGTTTGTCCTAGACCAGCTTGTTCTGGAGGCTCCAAAATTAGGTGTCATTACCAGGTGTTATTACTCTGCGGGCATAAAGTTGTACCTAGCGAGCAGCCCAGCGAGCTGCAGAAAGATGAGGAGGATAATTTGATTCCATCTTTGGAAATGTCAGACTTTATGGGTGAATAAAATACATTCCATTTTCTTCTGTTTATCAATATTGGGCGAAAACAGACTAGAAATTGCTTATAAATGGGGAGGGTTGAGAATAAGGCAATCTATTTGTTACCCCTTGCAGATGCACAGCCCTGCCACAGCCACTTCTGTACTGTGTGAAAGACCCACATAAAGCAGCAAAACAAGGCACAGATGGAAGGAAGAGTAACCCTTGCTGCCTTTCCATTTACAGCACTCATGGTACAAGCAGGTCCAGGTCCTGCAGCTGACAATCGTGGTCACACAAAATAAAATGTTCACAAAGCCACTGCAAATTCTTGGCTTTGAAGGGGAATTTGAAGAACCCTGTAAGGATATGCTCACCTGAGCTCTGAGCCAAAGGCAAAGCAGAGACCTGGGGCTGGATAAACATAGCTCTGTGCCCTGAAGAGCAGATGAGCCCAAGGCCAAAGCAAGAGGGGCCAGATGGGGCTGGTCCAGGGAAACACCAGGATCAGGTTTGTTGTGTGCTTGAATTACCCAAACCAGGTCAAAATCTGGGCACACAGAAAAGATCCAGCCCCTGAGAGCACCGTAATGGTAAAGGGAGGGGTTTCAGGGGAGAGAATAGAACAGCATTGAATGAACTTTTCAGACAAATTATACCTAAAGAGGAATGAAACATTATAGTTTCAATTACCGCTGTGCCCAGCCACGCAGGTAGTAATTCAAACAAGAAACAATTGCTGGATTGTCACCCTCAAATCAGACACATACCATTTAATTCCATTTACTGAAGGTTCACTGACTGTATTTTGAATCAAATACAGCCATTAATGTGCAAAGATCTGAAAAATGCATGTGTCCCTTTTACAAATGTGACAGCGAGACTGTAATTCCTGTAAAATCTGTTTTCTTCAGGTTGGGCTGCTCCTATTGCCATTAGTTATACAGATATTACTTATTAAAAGTTTCACTATGCCAAGCTACATCTTTCTGAACTGGCTTGCACCTTTTTGTTCAGGGCAAGTGAAAAGCACGGTCAAATCCAGCCTTGTATTCCATCACCCAAACTTAGCAAATTGATTCGATTGCAGAAAAAGCCACTTTCATTAAAACAATTAAACCCTTACTATTATTGCCGTTCCAGCACAAATATAAATCATGGGTTACGGGAACTAAAAGCTTTCAGATGGAATTGCTCTAACACCTGCCTCATGCAGCAGGCACAGGAAGGGGGATGTGTGCCCGGCTTCTTTGGGGCAGCGCTGCTGCCTAAATAAAACCCTCTCATATCCAGAAAGTGAATTTTATTGTGCTGCCCTGCTGAGCTCTGGCAGAGAGGCAGCGCCTGACTGTGAGCAAAGCAGCTCCCAGCGCTTGGGATGGGATTTTGGAGCTGGCACCTCTCCCCAGGTGATGCCTTGTCCCCAGCAGGGCTGTCACAGGGTGCGTGTGGCCCTGGCTGGGTTTTGCATCATTCAAACCCTGCTCAATGGCTGAGGTGATGCCTCCCTCATCCAAGAAACAATTCCATGAGTGGAAGTGTCCTGTTGAGTGTGATACAGGGGAATGGGCTTGACACAAAGCTTGGGGGTTGTCTGGAGTCCTTTTCCCTTTTGAAATAATACCTGCACATATTCCCCATGTCAGCACTGTCACACATTCTCCGTGGGGTCACAGAGTGTGTTGCCTAATAAAACCAGACCTTTCCATTAAACTCAACTCGCCCTTCTGCTCTGGCAGAGGATGCATCAAAGGGCAGATCGTTTAAATATTTCACTGGTTACTGTGTGGGCCATCAGAACTGGATACATGTAATTTCAAAGGCTTTTCTACTCCTGCTCCTCACATCATTCCAGGTCACACTTCCCTACAGGTGCTTGCTGTTGACTCAAGGACACTTCCAGGCAGCAGAATATCAATGGGGCAGGGATGGACAGGCCAGCTCATCCTACACATTTTAAATTGCTTAAAAAGGCACAGAAGCCTTCTCACAAAGAGAGTCGGTGGCAGGGACTGAAGTCAGTGCTCAGCATGTGGCTTAGACAAACAGAGTGGTCATTAGTGACTGTTCTCATTGTCACACCGGTGCAGACTGTTAATTCAGCACAAGAGTCATTAAAAGCAAGCCTCAGTGGAGAGAGAGGTTTTTGCAAATGCCAGATGACTTGGCAAAAAGTGAAGAAGACCCTCAATATCCTGCACTGCTCTGCTTGTAAATTCAGAGCAAAAACTCCCAGGAATTTGCTGGCGACACTAATTATTTTCTTACGCTGAAAGCTGTTAAAGCCCAACCCAGCTTTCCCTCACCCCATAACCAAGATAAGCTCACTGGTCATTCCATGGGTCCCTCTCTTCCAGAAGAGTGTCATTACTTCCAATGCTCTCCCCCTGACTTTGTTTCTGGGTTGATAGGGTGGGATCAGCCTTGCACTGATTGATGGCTTTGGCACAAGGTTTGGGGATTATCCGTGGGCACTATCCCAGCCTTCCCCAGCCCTGCTCCAGCCCCAGGGCTTTCATTGCCTCTGAGCTCACGATGGAAGAGCAGCATCCACTCTGCTGAATGGGTGTCCCTCCCTTAGAGTTCCTCCTACCAGGTGCTTTTAATTTATTTGTATTTCCAGCAGCAATAATTAAGTTATCAATTTTGTGCTCTTTTGGGCCAGAAGCAGATATCAGAGAGCTATTTTATACACCTAATTATGGATTATTTCCCATAGCTATAAAACCATGGAGAGACAGATCCAGAAAATATGTTGTGAGGTGATCTGTGTCCTCTTCATCTCTGCTGGCTTCTCCCTATTGCTTCCTCAAACTCCAGGCTGAATGCCCTCCAGACAAAACAGTTGTCAAAAGCAAGGGATACCTATTTCCCCACAGGACAAAATCTCTTCCCACCCCAGTAGAGAGCTGCTTAAAATTAAATTCAGCTTTTACTGAAATGATCTGTTTAAACCTTTAGCACCTCGTTGAGTCAGGCTGAGATTTATCCCATTTCTGTGCAATTTGGCTATAATCTGACTCATAATGGTGACCCAGGGTCCTGCTGAGGAGTGAAGAATTTGATTTCCTTTCCCACTAATGGTTTTTTGGGGGGGTTGAACGGGATGATGCTTAAGGTCCTTTCCAACCCATTCTGTGATTCTATGAATTGGATGTGGCCCTTCACATCCCCCCTTAGCTCTCCACTCCCCCGGTCCAGGATTTTTTGCTGCATCCATCCCAGGCAGGTCTGAGCTGCCTGGAGCACGCTGCAGTGCAGAGCCAGTGCTAAAGTCCAGCAGATCCTATTTTATATTTACAGAAAGAGACGGGAATCATCTGTGAGTCGGGATTAGGTTTCTGGTGGTGACATGAAGAGGCCATCCAAGATGTATGACCCAGCAAATGTACTGTAATGCACACATCACATTTGTTCTCTGAGTAAGTAGATATTGTCTAGGGTATATTACAGCTGTGCTTTGGTGTTTAATTTAATGTGAGTGAACTGCCTTAATTTCTCTAAATTGTAGTAATAAACATAATGCTAACAGTGATATTGCTAATAATTTATTTTGCAAGTGATTAATCAACAATGAACTATTTTAATTACCTGTTCGGAAATGCCAAATTCTAAATTAATTATGTGTCATTATATGAATTCACATGTATAAATATATACACTTATATATGAATTCCAAGGCTGATTAAAATGAATAAACCATCAGATTCGGTGAATTCATAGAGCTGAGAGAGGATGTCTCTCCCCTGCTCTTCTGCCTTTTTGCATTTCATCCTCAACACAAAGAGAATCTCATTCCAGTGCTTTATGCAAGTCGTTTGTGGTCCTAAAAAAGATATTACCTGGAGAAAGTAGCAAATCCCCTGGATCCCACACTGGAAAGAGCAGTGTCGAGGCCAGGGGTGTGTGAAGTGGGAGCAGGGGTGGAGGCTGCTGCATTTCCGTCTGTGGGAAATGCAGTGTGATCTCTGCCAGACCTTGGAACTCCCTGGAAATAAACCCCAGAGGGAACTGGAATGGGGGAGAAGGAGGTGATTCCCTGCCCTCAGTTGTTACCAACAATTTTGGAGGGAGGTCAGGGATTCAGTTGAGAGATTTGGGGCACAACCAAAGAGTTTTCCTTTTCACCTGGGAGGGGGCTGCATCTAGAGATGCTGCACAGCACAAAGCTGGCAGTGTGGGGTATTCAGCAGTGGAAACTACCCAGGGGCCCCAGAATGAGGCTGGGCAGAAAGAAGACACCATCCCTTTGCAGTAAGACTCAAGCCCACTGCTCATGGCCAAGAGGCCCCCAGGCATCCTGCACTGGCCCAGCAGCAGCAGCAGTGGTCCCCAGGGCGTTAGTGGCCCCTGTGGCACAGAGGGACAGAGGAGGGTATCTCTAATTTAGAGGTGGGAGGCAAGGCAGTTCTAATGGTTTGTAGCACAGGCTTGAAAACCAGAATGATTAACGAGAGCAATGCATGGAGGAACCAGAATCTAAGTAATGAGACCTTTATTTGATACATAATACCACTGGGACCTTCTATAAAGAGAATACCAGGAGTAGGGCTAAGTTTTGCTGGCTTGGGAATGCATCAGGAAGGGAGAGAGTATTGCTGACTCTGCAGTCAAATGCTGGGGCTGTGCACAACGGGGCTGCAGTGCTGTTCAACGTGAGCCTGGCACATGGTAATTCAGTCATATATTTTCAAATGCTGGAAAGACACCCTGATTTAGTGTGCTGCGTGGATCTATGCAGAGTTGTGGGTGTAAAATGCAGTGTCCAGAGCCTGATTCCATCACCTCCTGGTTGAAGTGAAGCCGGGAGATGAAGAAGCCATTAGATACATATCAAGAACTTCCAGCCAAAAAATTACTTATGGTTTCAATTGAAGGAGAAGAAGTTGTAGAGAGTTTAGGTATGGATGTCAGAAACACAGCAGTTAACAGCAGAGATGTATGAGAGATTGGGAGGTGATAACTTAGATAAATTGGTGTCTCATCCATATTAAGGAGACAGCTCATCCTCAGTTGCTGCCGGATGACATGAACAGTGGAGCGTATATGGATACTAAAATACATTGGTCTTAAAGTTAAATCCCCAAGAACCATCAGAAATAAGTCTCAGAGGCCAAAGTGAGATTTGATGCACACTGCAAAAATATGCAGTCTGTCAGAGCATGTTGCTCCCTCCATATAACTTCCACCATTTGTGGGACAATTATAGGGAAAACAATACTGTGATCTGTAAAGCAGTTCCTGGAGTGGTTTTATTCACTAACTCAATGCTATGCATAATCATTGCCAGCAACATCTCCAGAGGTGTGTGCATAATAGAGAGACATCAAGTCAATGAGTCAAAACATCAGAAAATAAAATTCAGATGAACCTCACATTCAAAAATTATATTATCTGTCATTTAACACTGTCTGAAGACCTTCTTATTGAAATAATTCATCTAAACCAAAAGCTACCCCAGGCAGTAATACCATGTTGTGCTGCTGTGTTTAGGAGATACCAGGAACTGGGGTTTTCTGCACCTTGAGCTGGCTGCCATAGAAGGGGAGCTGGGGTTATAAGAGCTGTGGGATCTTCAAACTGAAGCATCCAAATGACTCCTAGAGGGGAAACCGAGGGCACTGGGAGGGTCTGCTCCTCTCCTGTACCCATGTCAAAGCTTGCTGATGTGAGGAGTGGCCCCCCAGCACCACCCATTTCCTTTGCTGTGTAGATGTGTACAATAATTTTCTTTTCAACAACCAAATTTGCCTCTAAAAGAGAGTTTGTATCCAAATGCAAACTTAATTTGCCCTCTCTGACATTCCACTTCACTGGATTAGATCCTTCATGCCTCCTGCTCCGAAACACCCATCGAGATAAGAAGTTATCCTTTTTGAAAAGCAGCCTTGGAAGACCTTTAACTCCCATAACTAAATTCTTATCGTGCTATTTTCCCAAAGCACCATGTACAGCATTGTCTCTGCACTGCAGCTTGAAAGGAACAATTCCCTGCAGATGCAGGCGCCCGCAGCCAGGAATATCTGCTCCGGGATGCTTTGGCAGGGATATCACAGCATGGGCCATAAGGCAAGGATGGATACATGCATATAGAAAATGGATATGTCCGTGTATGAGCTCACAGGTGCAGGAGGGAAGCGCCAGTGCTGGATAATGAGTCCGAGCTGCTCCAGGGTGTGAGAATGAGCAATGAGCATCTCTGCTGGAAGCAAAATCAGGAACTTGGGTGAGCTTTGCTACTTAGACAACAAATCACTGGGTGTGCTCAAGGATTCATTTTTCATTGGGAAACACCAGTGAAACGAGTACTTTGCTGCTTATCTCTTTATTGCTTATCAGTGCTTCTTTGCCCTTCATTTGTTGGAAAAGGCATGCTGCTTAAACGGGTTGAAGGGTGGATGCTGTGACAGAACTAAGCCACCTCTTTAATCCCAGAGGCTTCATCAAGGGTTCATTTTGCTCTCTGGGAAAACCTCTCTCTTCCCACATCCCTCGCCTCCCTCTCTCCGCCATCCGTCTGGGTTGCTTTGTCTGTATCTGAAGTCATGCTTGCCATCCTTTGAAGAGGTAGTCTCCTTTAAAAAATCAATAGTTAACATTGTCTTTAAATAGTCTGACATTTACCTTTACTGCAGTTTTCATTTCTTTCTGGGATTGCTGAGACATTAGTATTACCCATGTACATTCCTTATTTCTCTGCCTGTAGCCATGGACCAGGAGCTTTGCAGGGATGGCAATCCTGGTGGGGTAGCTCCCAGCCACAAAAAAGGAGACTTTTGCAAGATAATTGAGAGGACTGGAGCTTGCTAATACAAGCCTCTTTAATTTATGGAAGACATCAACTGAGAATAATTACAAGCAAAAGGGTATCGTAAATCCCTGAAGAAAATACATGCTGAATGCAGTTTTCCCAACAAGCAAATTTGAATGCTAGCCCAAAGGTCAAAATAAAAGACTGTGAGCTTTAACCTCCTGAGCCATCCACCTTTCCTATGGCTCTTGTCAGGAGCTTGTCTGGGGGTTCATTTAGAGAGCTGCCTGTTCAGAGCAGGGCCATTTGCAATCTGGGAAAGTTAAGCAAATTAGCAGAATTATTAGGTAAGAGGCAATTCTCCACAGCCTGCAAAGCAACCGCTTGTTAAATTAGCTCACACGGGAGAATTGCACTGATGGAATGATGGTTGCAGTGTTTGCAGAGGGAAGGCTGTGCAGGCATTTCCTTTGAAATCATGCTGCTGTACTCCAGCTAAAGAATAAAAAAGGAGAGTTTGTGCACATTCCCTAGGCAGGCTCCCTGCACAAATATACTGGAAGATGTCTTTGTCTTTTAAACACATTTCTTCTACCCAGTTCCTTCTGCAACAACAATAATAATATAAAAAAACTAATAAAAAATAAAAACCCAACCCCCTCAAACTATCTACTTCTAAAAATAGGGAGGGTTACAGGAGAACTGATGCCACCAGACCCCTGGAAGCAGGTGGCTCAATGCTCTCAGTCCCCTCTGGGACATGCAAGGACACCTGGGGTTTTGCAGCCTTGCTGTCCTGGGAAGACTGTGGGAATGTGGTTTTCAGCAGCAGAAGCAGAGTCCCCCAAGGAGACAAGGAGAGGATGTCTCACCCATGGTTTCTGATCTGTCAGTCTCATTTTTATATACTCTTTGGTTATTGATTTGGTATTTTTATGCCTTATATAGTGCACTTAGTACAGGAAAAAATGGATTCACCAAGTAAATGTGCTTTATTAGCAGGTCTCTGATGGAAAATTATGTCAGTTTTCCATTTAAAAGATGCATCAGATTAATTCACTCATGAATCAATCTGTCTATGCTTGAAAATCTACTCACACCCCACATTAAATCGTCTGGTGTGACACTGCAGGCTGGAGATCACAATGGAAGTTTTTAAATGATGAAAAGGTATTATTGTGAAGTTTTTAGCACTTCCAAGGCAGCTGGGAATGAAATGCTCATCCCCAAAATGAAGTGAGGATGTTACACCAGGCTTAGCTCCAGCTTCCCTCTCAGGAGATGAAGATACATCAGTTAAAGTCATTTGGTGTTTTTCTCTTTTTTTTCTTTCTTTCTTTTCCTGCTTCTTTCTGTGACTGACGGATGTCCCAGCTCAAAGGGTTGTCCCAGGTTTTGTCCTTCACAGGCTTTTTTTGGCTCACAGGGCCATGATCCTCGCCATGGAAAGATGGATTATGCCTGTACTTTCCAGGTGATCCACAAAAGGGGGACAGAAATTAATTCCTTTCCCTGTGCTGAGTAGAGGCTCAGGATCATTCATTATTTGTTCCTGAGTGAGTGCTGCACAGGGCCACCTCTTACTCCTGGCAGGATATCAGCTCATGCCTGGACACTGGAATATTTGGGAAACAGTTTCAAATCTCTCCCTCTCTCACTCTTTCCCCACTCCTGTCCCTCTGTGCAGGAGAAAGCAGAAATCATCTGTCAGGCATTGCACAAAATGATTTATAAGATGGGAGGGCAGAAGGAGCTGGAGGCAGATTTTATCAGAGATGCTAAGAGATGTGAAGTAACTATCCCACGTGGAATTGGGAAAGAGCCCTTGGTGTTGAGTTTCTTCAAGAGAAAGACTGGCCATGCTGTGCCCCATCACTCTCTTATTCAGCCCCCTGTAGCAGATGCTGCTTCTCCTCAGCCCCAGCTCTGTGGTGCAATCCCACCTTTCCGCCCCAGGGCTACATGAAGCATCTCAGTGCTTATTTCTGGTGTTGTAGAATAAAAGACAAGTGCTTAGAGCCAGCTGAGATCCCTGGGTGCACATGGGTATCACAAGCATAAGGCAAGAGCAGTTGAACATTAAAATAGGGAGTCTCTCTTGGAATCATTCAGGTTGGAAAAGACCCCTAAGATCATCAAGTCCAACCATTAAATATCCAATATCCAATATCCATATCCAATCCAGGCAGGCCAATTGCATAATATCATTTACATGGAGCAGCGACAAGCTGTTTTCTGTTGTCCCTCTGCTTGCTGAACACTCCAAAATGAGGGATTTTGTTCCTTGTGAGGGAAAGGAGGACGTATCCACACCCTGGGCTGGGTGCTACTACAGCTCAGCACTGCTGCAGGAGCTGAGGTAATGCTTGAAGCCGCCAGGCTGCTACGCCCGGCCACGCGCCTGCTGTCTGGCCACGTCAGACACAAAGGGAAGGACGTCTGCTCCAACCTCAGCCAAAAAAGGGCACGTGGACATGGTTCATCTCCTGGCTGCAAACTGCTCAGGCCGTGCAGGCAGTCACCGTCGTTCAGCTCAGTGGGAAGGACGGTGAAGGAGCAGCGCGTAGGAGCTGAGGGATCTTTCCTCTGCTCTCGCTTGGGTGTGCAGGAGATCCCACCATCCAAGCCTTTCTTCCTTTGGAAAACATGTGCAGCACATCCCGCTGTTTGTGTTTCATCCAAACCAATGTCCTACGGCTATGATACGTGTGATTATGGCAGTCATTTTTAATTAGGGGTTGTGTCAATGTATTGACATTTTTATCGCTGATGGGGGAAGTTGAGGATATTCTCCTGCAGGTGAACTGCTCTCTTCGTGGTTCTCTGTCCCTCCAGCTGCACTGCTTGCTTATTGAAAAATGCAATGTTATTAAGCCCATTCTCTGTGCAAATTAATTAAGTAACTTGCACAACACCAAATCCAAGGAATGCAATATTTATCATTAACAAAAGCCCTGGCAGGATATGAGAAACAGTGTGATGAAGAGAATGCATTCAATGTCTTGCTGGGAAGTGGAGTTAGACAGGACAATAAAGACCTACTGGAAAAGACATGGTTAGCAGAAGGAATATATATATTTTTTTGTCTATCTCAGAAATACCTTTGGCCCAACAACTTTATATAACACCAATAGAAGATCTGACTTCTGCCTGATATGTCAGGATGAATCTTCCTCCTAGATGATGGTCCTGGTGTAGATGGTGCTCACATTGTACAGTTTTTAATGTCTTTAACCATCTTTAGCTTTGTATCCTGATAGCCCCTTCAGGCTATATGTCAATGCCATCTGGGAGGAAAGGAAGAGACTTCTGCTCACTCACCGCTGTAACGCAGATCTCTTGACTAAAATTGTGCTTCCATCACTTGACAAACTGTCAGCACAGAACAATTATCTGCCTGTTGGCTTGCTTGTCCTTCCTTTTCTCCCCTCTCAGAAATAAATAAATAAATAAATAAATAAATAAAAGGAAAACAGGTGAAAGAAAAGGATGCGCAGAAAAAAATTCCATGGACAGAATCCAGCTGATCTGATCACGGCACCTGAGACACTTAAGGATGTGACAAAGGCAGAAGTGGGTCCCCTCTTTGCCACTTCTTTTGCCACCTCCTCTTCCTATCCTTGACTGGCGAATGCTCTCAGGTCTTTGGGACAGAGAACGTGCCTGGTTTTGTCTCTCTTAAGTCCTGTACAAATACGGATGTTAGAGTATTAGTGTATTTAGGCTGATGTGTTCAGCAGCTCTAGATTATGAATTGCTCCTCAAAATAACGTTTGCATTCGCCGACAAAGGTCCTTATTACAGAAGAGGGTCAAGCAAAAAGGATTATTCTTGCTAATTATTCGCTGTTATTTAATATTTGCACAAAAGGTTTGCAGGACTGAGTCCTCAGGATTGCCTTGTTTGAGAAGCTAATAGGGTTTCCAGGAAACCAGCAGTGTCTGGTGAGCCATCAGAGCAGCCTCTTAGAGGATATGGGGAACAATTAGATTTGATGTAGTTAAGGATGGTTGGCTAAAGGTTTCTAATGACTTAGCCAGGACCTGATCCTGGGATTTTCAAAGTCAGTGGTAAGACTTCCTCTCTTCCTGTGCTTTATGGGAAATTGACTGCAGCACATCCAGTTTTCAGACCATGGACAGGTTCAGGATCCGGGCACCTCCCGGCTGCAAAGGGCAGATATCAGCGAGCTCCAAATCCTGCTGTTGCTGCAGGAAGGATTTGGGAGAGCAGGGCTGAAACACAAATTGTTGAGAAGAATATTTACAATGTTTTGGCCCATGCCTTACTTTTGTTCCTACACATTATCAGTCCCTGGAGAGCTCCCCTGAAGTCTACCTGCTGCCTTCTTCTTAGGCCTGATATTTCCTTGACTAGACCATAATTGGCTGTATTGTTATAGAAATTCCATGCTAAGTGAACTGAATTTCTCATTCCATAAAGACATAATTAGGCAATAAAAACACAGACAGAAATCTTCAAGCATGAGTGCCTGAAGGTGGGATCCACATTTAGGCATTTAAATGCATGGCCCAACTTTTGGGATCCCTGTGTATTCATATGTCCTCTTGCTTCCAGAGAAGTGGAAGCTTCCCTGCAATTCAAGGTGGCTTTGGGGGCACCAAACTTCTTTAAGGAAAGAAAATTTTAACTTACATTCCCTAGTTCTGTTCGAGTTGCAATGCCGCCAGCTTCCCCATTTGACATTTTTTAGTAACTTAATTATCATTACCAAAGAAGAATGTTAATAATGGTGTTGTTTACATTGGATGCAGCCCTGGGGAACAAGAGAAAATAACCCAGATTGTGGGAGCAGGTGGGAGG